GGGGGGCATGAGGCATTTCTGCACAAATGCTTTGGTAGGTAAAGCGATTCTTAGACGTTGTAGCCGTCCGGTTGGAGTCTGAACTTTGGAAGAAGTAAAACAATTAAAATTCTCACCAGAGGAGTGCATGAGAAGTGATCGACGTTCAGAGGATCCACCTCCAACTCCACCACCAAACTCTGAGAATGGATGCTCCTATAAACAGATGAACATACAAAATATTTATATTGCTTACATTTGCCTTCTGTCTTATCATCTCAACACCATAAATGACTGACCTCCACTGTATGAGAGTCTCGATGAGCCTGGCGTAGCCCTGGGCGGCAGCCAGATGGAGCAGGGTCATCCCCCGGAAGCTCATCTCATGGGCCAGAAGGTCCGACGTCACCCAGCAGGTCTGTGACATCATTTTTTCACAAACGGCGACCAGCCTGGCCTCGAAGGAGTCTGAAGATGACATCTAAAGGATGAAAGGAAAAAATAGAGGTTACCCACAAATGTCCCAATTTCACTAACCGCTATGCTGTCCACTGGGCCAACTAAGCACAATGGGATGTCATGTGAACAGAAGCCGGCACTGGCCCAATATAGTATGAAGCCATTTCTGGACTATCTGGTCTCTCCTGCCAACGTTTCTGAACACCAGGAGGTTGGGGTCCACATTGGGCTGTGTACACACTGAGCAAGGATTGAGGCAGCCGGCAACTAACGTGCATGAAGAAGAGGCTTATGAGGAGCTTCTGCCTTCCTGTGCCCGGGAAGAGGGATTAAGATCTCATTCCGCATTCAAAGCCGACTATAAGAAAAAGTCAGCCACATACAGATTTTGGGCTGGTGACGTCATCAGAACCTTTACTCACCAAGAAAAAGTATTCTCTGAATTCTTGGGTCTGCACACCTCATTATGAGGGGCCCCCACCATCCCTGTGCTGAGTTCCCGCGTCTCTACACCGGCTGTGCCCATTATGAGGGGCCCCCACCATCCCTGTGCTGAGTTCCCGGGTCTGTACACCCGCTGTGCCCATTATGAGGAGCTCCCACCATCCCTGTGCTGAGTTCCCGGGTCTGTACACCCGCTGTGCCCATTATGAGGAGCTCCTTGTTCACATATTTAACACAACCCTGACCACAGACTTGCAGTGTAGACCAGTAGTTCGTAGTTGGACCCCCGTCTGCAGCATGCACGCTGGAAGCCCCAGTGCCCCATACTGGAGTGCCCCATACTGGAGTGCCCCATACTGGAGTGCCCCATACTGGAGTGCCCCATACTGGAGTGCCCCGGGGATACAAGGAACTGGAGGTTTAACTCTCCAGCAAACACTGAAAATGAATTTTGGGCAGACTGACCCTTCAAGGTGTCCGTGGCTTAATCCTATGTGTACATGACCGTCACCATCGACATGAAGGCGATACAAAAGCCACAAAGCTGGCCCTGGCACAGCGAACAGACGGTGTGGAAAATATTGTCTGTAACTTAAGAAGCGTATAATCCACTTAGTAAATCTTGCATGACGTCTAATGGAAACTTCAACAGACGACATTCCACCCCCCCGCCCCTGCGCAACTGGGATCCAAACGGGTTCCACGGAGAGCTCTGCAGAGGGACTTGTACATATGATTGACAGGCAGCTCCATGTGCTATCAGCGCCGTGCTTCCTAATGTCATTCCATTACATTCATTATGGAGCTACAGACCCGGTCGCTGGTTTGATGCAAATAATGGCCAAAATGAGGTTTATTTAAAGTGTACGTAAAAGTTACTTGTTGTTAGTTTTGATGATATCTGGGAAGGGTTACACCAGGTAAAGGCAAACTAAGGCATGTGTGCCGGGGCCGGCATGCAGCATCAATTTGGAAGATCCTCCCGCGGCATGGGTGCAGACTCAGACTGGAGGGTCCTCTGGTGGGTCCCTGCTCCCTACAAATATAGCATTGCTCCCTAGGCTGTCACTTACACAGCATGGTCTCTCTGCGCCCGCCGCCCACCCACCTCCTAACCTTCCATAGAGACCCGTCTGACTTTGCTGATGAGAAGTTTCATGGACCGTCATTGGCCCACCTGTGGCTGCAGACTTTGTTGTATAAAGAATCCGATCTGCCTAGGTGTAGGAATTGGGGTGATCTGAGGGGTGAAGGTGCAGGAATTGGGGTGATCTGAGGGGTGAAGGTGCAGGAATTGGGGTGATCTGAGGTGTGATGGTGTAGGAATTGGGGTGATCTGAGGGGTGAAGGAATTGGGGTGATCTGAGGGGTGAAGGTGCAGGAATTGGGGTGTTCTGAGGGGTGAAGGTGCAGGAATTGGGGTGATCTGAGGGGTGAAGGTGCAGGAATTGGGGTGATCTGAGG